AATGTGTGAGGCTGAGGGAGGAAAGAGAAAGAAATGGCCTTCCTTAGGACTCTTTCAGGGACATGAGACAGAAAACTAATTCAAACCATTGTAAAGAAAAGAGGGGGATTTAAGAAAACCATAGAAAGACAGGCATAACTTTCACCACAGGCTCTTAAAAGTATTAAGAACTTCTTCGGACTTCCCTGATGGTGCAGTGGTTAAGAATCCTTCTGCCAATGCAGGGGACACGGGTTCAAGCCCTGGTCCGGGAAGATCCCACATGCCATGGAGCAACTAAGCCCGTGTGCCACAACTACTGAGCCTGCACTCTAGAGCCCGCGAACCACAACTGCTGAGCCCTAGTGCCACAACTACTGAAGCCTGCACACTTAGAGCCCATGCTCAGCAACAAGAGAAGCCACTGCAATGAGAAGCCGGCGCACCGTAACGAAGAATAACCCCCGCTCTCTGCAACTAGAGAAGGCCCGCACACAGCAACGAAGACCCAACACAGCCATTAAAAAAAAAAAAAAGAAACTCTTCATCTCTCTGAGGATATGTTGGCCTATTCTCTTGGTCTTTGCCATGGGACGGTGAACACGTAGCATCCTTACAGCTTATAATCCAAGGAATGAAGAGCTGAGACTTGAACCCAGATGGTCTGATGCCAGTAACCACTGGCATCGGAAATAAAAAGGAAACCCGGGTGGTTGAGAAGAATTGAATCCACTCTACAGAATAATCTATATGGCATCGTAGTTAAGAATGTGGGCTCTACCTAGGGATAAATACCAGCTGTTTCACTTGCTAGAGGTGTGATTCTGGGGAATTAATTTTTTTTCTTTTTGGCCATGCCTCGCAGCATGTAGGATCTTACTTCCCCAGCCAGGGGTCAAACCTGTGCCCCCTGCAGTGGAAGTGCAGAATCTTAACCACTGGACTGCCAGGGAAGTCCCTGGGGAAGTAAGTTAACTTCTGTGTCCTCGTCTGTAAAATGGGCATACCTCATTGTCCTCATGTGTAAAACAGTTCACGTCCGTATTAGTTTGCTAGGGCTACCGTTATAAAATACTATAGGCTGCGTGGCTTAAACAACAGATATTTATTTTCTCACAGTTCTGGAGGCTCAAAGTCCAAGATCAAGGTGTTAGCAAGTTTGATTTCTTCTGAGGCCCCTCAGAAGGTGGCTCCTTTCTTGCTATGTTCCCCATGGTCATCATCTAGCCTCTGTCCTAATCTCCTCTTAAAAGGACACCAGTGTGGGCTTCCCTGGTGGCGCAGTGGTTGAGAGTCCGCCTGCCGATGTAGGGGACATGGGTTCGTGCCCTGGTCTGGGAAGATCCCACATGCCGTGGAGCGGCTGGGCCTGTGAGCCATGGCCGCTGAGCCTGCGCATCCGGAGCCTGTGCTCCGCAATGGGAGAGGCCACATGAGAGGCCCGCGTACCGCAAAAAAAAAAAAAAAAAAAAAAGGACACCAGTGATACTGGATTAGGGCCCACCCATATCACCTCACTTTACCTTAATCACCTCTTTAAAGGCCCTATCTCCAAATAGTCACATTTTGAGGTATTGGGAGTTAGGACTTGAACATATGAATTTGGGGGTGAGGGAGAGGGATATAATTCAGCCCAAAACACTACCTCTTAGGATTATTGTGAAGATTAAATGAGATAATATATCTAAAGCAAAGATCAGGGGAGCTAGAATGCTGTAAGGGCTTAATAACCGTTCAAGGTAACTGAACACTTACTTTAGGCATAAGGGTATCTGACAAGTCACAAACCTTTCTCTGCTAGGATATTGGCTGGAAGTGCCCTGGGGGCTTCTCTCATCCAGGTCCAGGATCATCTTTGCCTTATGGTCTAAAGTTCCCAACTTGAGCTCACAACTGTCCTGTTCTGTTCTTCCTGTGGAGAGCTCTCAGACTTCCTTTCTGTAGGAAAGGAAGACTCCCCAAGGTTAGTCTTGAAAACGAGGAGACATTCTGTCCCAGCTACTTATGGCTCTGAGAGTGCCTTTCCAATACCACTGTAATTTCTACTCCTTGGGCAAGCCACTTATTAAAATTTAATGACAATCACTTACATTTATAAAGCCATTTTCAGTTTACAAAGCTCTTTTCCGTGCATTCTCTCTCTTGATTCTCATAACATCTGTAGGAAGGAAGGATGTTTTTCTCTATTTTATAAATGAAGAAAATGAGGCTGTGAGGAGTAGCATCATCGTCCTAGGTCATACAGTGGCAGAGATGCACCTCAAATTTTTGCCTTTGGGTTCCTATATGTCAGGAGTAGCTCACCCTTTCAGGCATTTTTCTACAATATAAATAATCCAGTACACCAGTCCGGGTTGGGGGAGATGTAGGTAAATTATTTGGGACTATTTTGACTGGAAGTGACAAAAACCCAACACAAACTGGCTTCAGCAAAAACTGAATTCATTGGTTTACCTAACAGAACAATCCAGAAGTAGGTCTTCAGGCATGGATGGATCCAGGTGCTCAAATTATGTCACCAGGACTGTCTCTTTCCATTTCTTAGCTTCTCTTTGTGTTCATTTTATTCTTAGACAATCTCCCTGCTTGGAGTGTCAAAGATGCCCCCCTGTGGTTGAAGCTGAAGCCCCAGCTCAACAAACTCAGTAAAAGGGGAACAATCTCTTTCTCGTAAACTGCAACAAATGACCTGGATATCATTCTCAACTATTTGGCTTGGCTTATGGGCCCACCCAGAGCCAATCGTTGTGTCTAGAACAATGGAATATGTTCATTGTCCAGGCCTGATCATTTGCCCGGTTCTGGAGAGGAGTAGGGTGAGTCTCACCAAATCCAGGGCCTGAGTGAGGGGGAAAGGAGTTTCTTTAAAGACAAAGTACTGATGTCAGAAGCGGTGTGGGTAGCAGGCAGCTCTCTCCAGGGTGTCATCGCTCTGCAGAGCTAGAACAGAGAAACCAGTGAGGAGCTGGGGGCCCATCTTAGCAAGAACTCTCAGTTCTTCCCTGGAGAGAGAGTAGTAAGTGGACTTCTGTGATTTTTTTTCCTGGAGTGCCTAGCTTGGCTCAGCAGGATAGGAAAAAAGACAATAATTCATGGCAGAATAAGGAGAAAAGATGGAACTTCTGGCTCCGGTAACTTATATTCAGAACAGTACCCACACCAGGAGTACCCACACCAGGAGCACCCACAGAAGGAGACTTTGAGGTGCCCTTTGAGGATGACTTCCCTCCCCCCTCTTCCCAGCACCTTCTGTCTCCCCATGAAGCTGTGAGCTCCAGGAGGGCAGGGACCACATCTGTTTTACCCACCATCTTCTCCCAGGGCCTAGCATAGTGCTCTGTTGGCACATTGCAGGAGCCTATCACATATTTATTGGGTGGATGAAATAAATTAATGAATCAGGTTGATCACCTGAATTGGCAGGATGGACTCACCTCTTTGTACAAGTCAATCCCTCTCTTTGGCCTCTGTTCTCCATCTGTCAAGTGGGAGAAGGTGTAGAATGAGACTCTCTTCACAGCCCCTTCCAGCTCATGCTTCTGGGATCTTAGGGTTCTCAGGAGACAGCCTGGATGCCTCTTCAAGGAACCAGTGGAAGGGGAAACCAAACTGATTGAATATACTGTCTCAGGTGAGATGACTTCACATGGGTCTGTGGTCCCCAAATTGTGGGGGACTGCACATTTTTTTTTTTTTAATTTTGGAAGGAAATAACACTGTCTGTTTCTTATTTTGCCAAATAAAGCCACTGGCGGGGGGGGGGGGGGGGAACAACTGTCATTAACTGTCATCACCATTTCTTTAAAAAATGGAATTTTTTATACCAGTAAGGCAGGAAGTACATCATCTCAGAAACAAAACAAAACAAAACAAAAAAAACAGTCCCTCTACCCCGGAGAAAAAAGACAGGTGGCAACCTCACATGATGATAATTACGTGGTTTTTTTGCACATAGATCTAAATTTCACCAGACTGATCCCTGTGTATGGTCCAGTATTTGGAACCTACTAACAGATTACTTTCACCACCTCTCAACACCTGTGAAGTGGGGCTTAATCTGCCCACTTTACAGATGGGGAAATAGAGGTTCAGAGAGCAAGTGCAAGGTCACGGAGACAGTTAAGTAGTAGTCAGAGCTTTCTGGATGACAACCCAGATCATCTTGGCAGATCCTAAGCCAAAAGGTATTTCACTGCAGGCAAGAAATGACCTGCACTGGCTCCCTTGGAGTGTCCCCTCATTTTCTCGGGCCTAACCGCAAACTGCCTGGACTGTTATGCTCCGTTCTTTAACACACCCTCCTGATGTGTCCGCTTCATGCCAGGCACTGGGAGAGTGTAGGGAGAGAAACCAACACGTTCCCAGCCTCCTTTTCTCCTGTTCCCCATACTCACCCCGTGTCCCACTCTCCAGGCCCAGCTCCACACACTGGCGGCCAACGAATCCCCACCGCGGGCGTGGGCCGCTAACAGTTTAGGAGGTTCCCTCTCCCAGAGGTGCTGGCGATTTCCTAGGAGACTCTGGGAACCTTCAACGCCTCCAAGACCCAAAGGACTGGAAGCGTAACGGTGCCACTCGACAGACACTGTGGTAGGCTGTACCCGAGGTAATTTGGGAGCAAGGGATCAGTTCAAACGCTGTGAACTAACACCCTGTTCTGCCCGTGCAGCGTTCCCATGGGCTTTGCGTGGACCCACAATCGCTCAGCTCCGGCCGGAAGGAGGGGGGTCCCCCCAATTAGAAGGCCTTACTGTGGCGGGGGCTTACTGCTCCGGCTGGGGGACCCCACGGACCGTGCCAACCCCTCTCCGGGACTGGCGGACACCCGAGCTCCCTTTCCTGTTCCGCTCCGCCCCGCACGCCGGCGGCAGGAACGCGCCTCCGTCGGGCCGCGCCGGTGCCCGAGAGCTCGCGCCTCCGCGCGGGAGCGCGCCCCGGGGAGAGCCCGAGCAAGATGGAGGCCGCGCCGAGGCCGCCGCCTGGGCCCGGGAAGCAGCCGCTCGGAGCGCCGAGCCGCGGCGCCTAGGCCGTGGCAGTCCCGGACCCACTGCTCCGGACCGGGCCCAGGTTGGTCTCCCCGCACCCCCTTCCCGGGGCCGCAGCCTCCGCGTGCGTCCGGCCTGGGCGCGCGGCAGCCGCCCCCCAGCCCCCATCCCTGGCCCTACCCGGGCCCGGCCGCTCCCCCGCGCCCCGGGGACAGCCCCTGCCCACTGCCCGCCCCTCGCGGCTCGGGCTGCCTGCCGGCGCCTGTCCCTCGTCCCCTTGGCCTGGAAAACCTCTCTCCCTGTAGCCCTGGCCCGCCAAACGTAGGCTCCCCCGAGCCCTGTCTTCTGAGGGACCCTCCCAACCCCCTCGCCCCCTGTTCAGACCCTGCGGCTCCGGCCCCCGATGTCCCTCTAGCCTCATCCTGGTTCCTGCTCTTCGCCCTCCCTGTCCCAGCCCCCATATCACCTTCCCAGTCCCCTGGCACTAACCCCTTACATCCCTTTCTTACCCCCTCGTAGAAGCGCCCACCCCCCTCTCCACAGCCCCTTTCTAGACACCCAATACCAGACCTCCTTTTACCCCGAACACCAGCCCCCAGATTCCCTTCCGAGCTCCCTGTAAAACCCCGCTTTTAATTCTCCGCTGCCGGTCTCCAGCCTCCATTCCATCTCCCCACGGTCCCCTCTTACTTCACTGGTACCAGCCCCCAAGCCCCTCCCCAACGCCACCGTAACCACTTTCTAGCGCCCCGCCTCCAGCTCTCCTGTGCTCATTCCAGCTCCCTCATCCCAGCCCCCCAACTTTCACATGGCCTCTTCCTATGTCCCCGAATTGGAGATCTTTGCCAGTCTCCCCCTACCCTGACACCTTCCCGATACTCTCATGACCCCCTCCTAGCTCCTCCATACCAGCCCCCAGGTCCCCTCAGCTCCGCCTCAGGCCCCGCCCTCGCGGGTTCCTTGGCTTAGGGTCCCTTCTCGCGTGCGTCCCCAGCTCCCGCCCGGCAGCCCGGCTGTCGGTCCCGGGCCGGCGGCCCCCGCAAGCCGCCGCCGGCCCCGCCCCCGGGCACCATGCTGCCCTCGCAGGAGGCCTCCAAGCTCTACCACGAGCACTACATGCGGAACTCGCGCGCCATCGGTGTGCTATGGGCCATCTTCACCATCTGCTTCGCCATCATCAACGTGGTGGTCTTCATCCAGCCCTACTGGGTGGGCGACAGCGTGAGCACCCCCAAGCCTGGTTACTTCGGCCTCTTCCACTACTGTGTGGGCAGCGGGCTGGCGGGCCGCGAGCTCACCTGCCGCGGCTCGTTCACCGACTTCAGCACTATCCCGTCCGGCGCCTTCAAGGCGGCCGCCTTCTTCGTGCTGCTCTCCATGGTGCTGATCCTCGGCTGCATCACCTGCTTTGCTCTTTTCTTCTTCTGCAACACGGCCACGGTCTACAAGATCTGCGCCTGGATGCAGCTCTTGGCAGGTAGGGGAGGGGCGGGGGTGGGACTTCTAGAACAGACGCTGAGGAAGGGGCTTCTTCTTCCAGGACCCCTTCTTGGAGGAGTCAGAGACAGATTCTGCTCCTCTGTCTAAAGACACACCTCCTTCGCTGACTCTAAGCAGCCAGTGGGGAGGGGATTCTATGAGAGAGACACCTTGGGTCAGAGGGCATAGCCTTAGAACTGGGTCTATAGGTCTGTGTGCTTGGATGTGGGCAGATTGCGTTTATTGATGGATGAGCATTATGTCTGAGTTTCTGAGGGTCTCTGAGAAAGAGACCCTTGGCTCTTAAGGGAAATAGCTATCTGAATGAGGAGTTACTCTAGGTGTGAGCAATTTCTGTTGCATTGAAAAAAGCATGAGGGACTTCCCTGGTGGTCCAGTGGTTAAGATTCTGTGCTCCCAATGCAGGGGGCACGGGTTTGATCCCTGGTAGGGGAACTAAGATCCCTCATGCCACACGGCGTGACCTAAAAAATTAAAAACAAAAAAATGAGATGGGGAATCAAGAGATCTGACAGTGACCTTTAACTTGCTAACGTTATCAATTTGGATGTTTCACTTTACTTCTCTGAGGCTCAGTTTCCTCATCTGTAAAACAGTGGAGAAGAGTCCAAGAACTCATGAAAGAGTAATTTATAAACTATAAAGTTGGGAAAGGATGGAGGGTGGTGTTAAAGAGAAGGCTGTCTGTAGTGTCTGTCCAACGTTTGAAGTGTAGGTGGTTGACAACACCTGGCAACATGGGCCTCTGGAGAGCAGGTCTCCAGCCTCCCACCCCCACCAAGGCAGGAAGGGTTCTGGTGCCATGCCTAGTGGGAATGAGTCTCTGGGACCCTCTGAAATGTTTGGTTAAGACAGACACCTTGCCCTAAAAACCAGAGAAGGGCCTTTTGGGAGTAAGAGCTGCTGAGACGGTTTTCCAGGATCCATTAGAGTCCCCCATCACTGCCTACCTTTCAATCGAAGACAGATTTTGAAGATTCAGCAACTTGGGCATTTGCCTAATTGCAGGCAGGGAAGACAGTTGGGCTGAGGACAGTTGGGCCAGGGGATGGCAGGGATGGAGGAGGAGGCTGACGAAGGCTGGTGAAGGAAAACATTTAGAGCCTTCCAGGGTCGAGAAGGAGAAGGGAAAATGTGATGATCATGCAGCAGAGATGGTTTTTCAAAATAAGCACCTCAGGATATTCAACCAGTGTCAGCCCCTTCAAAAGAGACCTCCTGAAGAAGCTGTTCTGTCACTTGCTGATGGTTCCACTCCTCAAAACATTGTAGGAAATTGTCTTTGGATGGTGGTGTGTATACTCTTGAACATCGTCTTTGAGGGGAAACCTCTATTTTTTTTAAATTAAATAATTTATTTATTTTTGGCCGCATTGGGTCTTCGTTGCTGCGCACGGGCTTTCTCTAGTTGCGGTGAGCGGGGGCTACTCTTCGTTGCGGTGCACGGGCTTCTCATTGCGGTGGCTTCTCTTGTTGTGGAGCATGGGCTCTAGGTGCGTGGGCTTCAGTAGTTGCGGCACGTGGGCTCAGTAGTTGTGGTGCACAGGCTTAGTTGCTCCGTGGCATGTGGGATCTTCCCGGACCGGGGATCGAACCCGTGTCCTCCTCATTGGCAGGCGGATTCTTAACCACTGCGCCACCAGGGAAGTCCCAAACCTCCATTTTTTAAAGGAGGACTATGATTTTTGGAAATGGCCAAGTGTAGAAAACACAATGGATGGGAGTTCCCTGGTGGCACAGTGATTAAGACTTCGCGCTCCTGATGCAAGGGACCCGGGTTCAATCCCTGGTCAGGGAACTAGATCCCACGTGCGTGCTGCAACTAAGAGTTCGCATGCCACAACTAAGGAGCGCACCAGCCACAACTAAGGAGCCCGCCTGCTGCAACTAAGACTCAGCACAACCAAATAAATAAATTAATTTAAAAAATTAAAAAAGAAGAAAACACAATGGGTGGTCAAGATGAGAACTGTCACTTGAGATGAAAGCCAAGGTGTGAAGGCAAAATCACGAGGCTGGTTTGCTTCCCCAAGAGGACTGTTACAAATGCTGGGAGGAATTTCTGGCCCGTTGGAAGAATTGTTCAAACTCCCAAAAGGACTACCTTGCAGAAGGCAGCATTTATTCAGTGTGGACATTCTAGTGGGCTTGCTCCAATTGACTTAGATGGAGGTCTTTTAAGATTTTGGAGAAAGTGAGAAAGGAGAATTGTAGGATGTGGGACGTATCTCCATATTTATCAGTACCCAGAAGGTGATTTCCATTCTACTCTTAAAAGGCGAGCTGGAAAGAATATATGCTCAGCTGGAACTCCCATATCCTGAACCTTGATTTGTAGTCTGCAGATGGTTTACTGACCTCTTGGCCTTCCAGTTCGCTGTAATCCATCCAATTCTCTGTAATCCATGTGGGTTTAATCTTGGGGATTTGATGAACTATTCAACAACCCCCATGTAAATATAGAATTTCAGGGATCTTAGGAATCAGCTCCTTCAAACCCTGCCTTCCTCCACCCCCATTATAGAGAGAGGAAACTGAGCCTAGAGACATAAAGGTCTTACCCAAAGTCACACAGCCAGTAATAGAGTAAACTAGTCATGACTCCTGGTCCAGTGCTCTTTCCCTTGTGTTTTGCCCCACCCCTAAGGGCAGTTATCAGAGTTGAGCCGTTCATTGTATTTTACTTAGAGATTTCTGAGCTCTGGCTAAGTGACTGACTTACTTTGCTTAATAAAGGGCAGAGATCAGGGGCTTCCCTGGTGGCGCAGTGGTTAAGGATCTGCCTGCCAATTCAGGGGACATGGGTTTGAGCCCTGGTCTGGGAAGATCCCACATGCCGTGGAGCAACTAAACCCGTGCGCCACAACTACTGAGCCCACGTGCCACAACTACTGAAGCCTGCGCGCCTGGAGCCCGTGCTTCGCGACCAGAGAAGCCACTTCAATAAGAAACCTGCGCACCACAATGAAGAGTAGCCCCTACTCACCGCAACTAGAGAAAGCCCAAGCGCAGCAACAAAGACCCAACGCAGCCAAAAATAAATAAATTAATTAAAAAAAAAAAAGGGGCAGAGGACAGAGCACTAGACTACAAGTCATGGGATTGCGCTGGTGGGGGAGGGTTGTCTTAGTTAATTCTGCCTGTGACTCACCATGTAGTGTTAAGCCACCACTTTTTAGCTTAAATCTCAGTTTTCTCATCTGTACAGTGGGGGACTAATCAGATTAGTGGATTTAAAGTATCTCTTTCAGGCCTGTGGGGCTCCTAGAATAACTCTTTCACCAAGATCATTCCACTCAGAAAGTGAGAAATCAGTCATCCTCAGAGAAACTGCAGAGAAGCAGAGGGCCTTATTTGTATCAGATAAGAATTAGAAGGACTTCCCTGGTGGTCCAGTGGTTAAGACTCTGTGCGTCCACTGCAGGGGCTACAGGTTTGATCCCTGGTTGGGAAACTAAGATCCCGCATGCCATGCAGTGCAGACAGAAAAAAAAAAAAAAAAAAAAAGAGGGAATGCCTGTTGTATGGTTCTTGTTCAAGTGAACATTTACTCAAGCTGTTTATTGGCCATGCCATGCAGCATGTGGACAATCCCTGCTCTCAGGAAGCTTACCATCTAGGTGAATCACTATACTGGTCAACAGTCTTTCAGTGAAAAGTGACAGAAACCCAACTCAAGCTGCCTTAAGTAAATTAAAATAAGATAAAGGGCTTCCCTGGTGGTGCAGTGGTTGAGAGCCTGCCTGCCGATGCAGGGGACACGGGTTCGTGCCCTGGTCTGGGAAGATCACACATGCTGCAGAGCGGCTGGGCCCGTGAGCCATGGCCGCGGAGCCTGTGCGTCCGGAGCCTGTGCTCCGCAACGGGAAAGGCCAAAACAGTGAGAGGCCCGTGTACCGGAAAAAAAAAAAAAAGTAAAATAAAATAAGGTAAAGAGGGTAGTGTTTTTGGCTCACATACATTAAAACTCAAGAGCACTGGCTTCAGGCACGGATAGATTCAGATGCTCAAATAATGTCATTAAAAATCAGTCTCTCAGTAGCATCGACATATATACACTACCAAATGTAAAATAGCTAGTGGGAAGCAGCTGCATTGCACAGGGAGATCAGCTCGGTGCCCTGTGACCACCTAGAGGGGTGGGATAGGGAGGGTGGGAGGGAGAGGCAAGAGGGAGGGGATATGGGGATATATGTATACATATAGCTGATTCACTTTGTTATATAGCAGAAACTAACACAACATTGTAAAGCAATTATACTCCAAAAAAAAATCAATCTCTTGGGACTTCCCTGGTGGTCCAGTGGCTAAGACTCTGCACACCCTATCTATGCAGGGGGCCTGGGTTTGATCCCTGGTCAGGAACTAGATCCCACATGCTGCAACTAAGAGTTTGCATGTAGCAACGAATATCCTGAGTGCCAGTGCGGCCAAATAAATAAATAAATATTAAAAAAAAATCAGTCAGTCTCCATTTCCTGGTTCCTCTGTGTTGGCTCACTTTTAAATTCACTTCTCTTTTGAAGGTTATAAGTAAGGCTACCAGCAGCTCTGAATTTACATTGCTTCAGCTTAGCAATGCCTGTGGAATAAAAAAGAGCTTTTATTCAATGGTTCCAGCAAAAGTTCCAGGGCTGATTCTGATTGTCTAGCTTTGGTCAAGTGTCTACCTCTTAATTAATCAGTGTGACTGTCTAAGGTCTCGGCCACATACCCATTCCTGGGACACATGAACTGATAGGGGAGAAAGATAAATTCCCACAAAGGGAAATCAGGTGTGACCACTGAAAGAGGGCTACTGTGGGTTAGACAAGTGCAGACAGAGGCCTCATCCTGGACAGTCTGAGCACTAATACGTGCTCAGCTTTAGGTGCTGTGGAAGACCAGGGCAATTGAGGAGGATACCGCCTTAGTTGGGAGGTGAAGCTTGAGTGGGGCTGGGTGTGGACAGGTGTGAGTTGCGAGAGAGCATTCTGA